ACAGCAATTAACCACTAAGAAGAATATATGCAGTGTATTATTTGTTGAAACTGTACTTTCGATTTGATTTGAAACTGTCTCGTTGCTATATGTTTGTCAATAAAACTTTGAAAAGAAAAAAAAAGAAACTATTCCTAATTACAGGAAATTTTGGAAGTAATCTTTGAGTTGATTTTCTTTATCTTTTTTTGGAAAATCATCTTTTTATATGAGTGTTATTTTGCAACTATATCCAACCTACAAACTATGTCCTTACTTACATATTTCTGATCCAAAGTATTATAAGTGCCCTATAAAGGTTAACTTCCTATGTGTCTATATTGGAAATCTGATTTTCTCTCTAATCACAAGCCATAATTTTTGCATATTTAAATGTTTCTGATGGAAGAATACTGTATCTGTTGTGGGGAACAGCAGTTATGAGGTGCACTGCACTTTGCATTTTAAGATTATGTAGTGTCCTTGCTTTTTGCTCAGGAAAATGCTATATAAAATACTGATTGGCAACTTATACGTGCTTTAAAATGGGGATCATGATACAAACAGTTTTATTTATTTCAAGAGTCATTAATTTATCTTTACATACAAGCATGTTTTTTCTCTTGTAGGGAACAGCGTGCTATTGATCTTTATAAGCAGTTAAAGCACAGACCTTCAGGTAAGTAGTTAAAGATATTTTAGGAAACTTAATGGCTAAAAATTTGGGGGAATTTTACATTAAATATTTTTTTTTACATTAAATATTTTAACGGCTGAAAAATAAATTCCTGTTTTGGTATTGTCATTAAGACACCTAAAGTATAATAGCTGTAACTTTGTGAGAATTTAAGAGATTAAAAAAGGAAAGTAATAACAAAATACAGGTAGAAAAATTTTAAGCATGGAAGTCAAAAGAGGAATGGAACAGAGAGAAGAAGAAAAAGATGTAGAAAACTGGAAAGCTAAGAAAAATTACTTAAGATTAGGGAAGTTGGAATGAATTTGATGCTGTGGGTTCAGGCATGGCATAGTGGGAGAAGGCCTATGTTCTAGGTAAAAGCAGTTTACCTTGAAAAGGTCCTGTATCTGTACTGGTCACGGATTGCTTATATCGTTGGCACAACAGTTCCTGGTGAACACCTGCTAAATGCAGAGCATGTTCTGCTGAAAGAGCAGTAGTTGGGAATCAAGAGGCTTGAATTGTAGATTGGATGCTTTACTAGCCAGTTGATCTCGGCACATTTTCCTGTATCTCATTTCTCTTTTTTAGAAAATGATATTGAAACCTCTTTCCTAACTCAGTTAATCTTATGGCAGTGTGTATGAGAGGGTGTTTATGGAAATGCTTTGAAAACTGTAAGGTTATACCTGAAAGATACTGTTACTTAAACTTTTTTGTTTTAAAAGGTTGCAGAAGTAAAAAGTGAATTTCATGCCTTAGGATGCAGTTTACTTAAATCCTTTTAAAAAGTATATTAATGCTTTGAAATTTATAAGCACATACCAGCACATGCAAATTAATAGACATATGGCATGGTACTTTTAAACAATATAATTTTCTCCTATATTACTTTTTATTGCAGTGGAATTCATTTAATTTTGTAAATATTTATGAAGTACTGTACGATAGGAACCTAATTTTGTGGGTATGGGAGAGTTAGGGTTTTCTCAAGGAAGTAAGTCGTAGAGTAGCACTAGCCAGGTGAAAGGAAGAAGTGTATGATGGTATCACACTCCAAGACATATACATGTAGCATTAGTATGCTTGAGCACTTAGCAGTGTGATGGAAGTATCGTTTCACAAGGAGAGAGATGCAACTGGATCATACTGGAATTGGTATGATGTGATTGTAGAGACTGTGGATTTCATTGCAAGGAAATGCCATGAAAGTTTTGATCAGGAATGGCATGATCAGATTAACATTTTAGAAATACTATTCTGTTGGCATTATGGATAATGGATTATAGTAAAACTAGGTAGTAACAAGTGTATTTGTTAAAAGGTTATTAGACTAGTCATAGCTTATTTTAGGGTAGTCTATAAACTATGGGAGCCTGAACTATGGCAGTAAGATGAAGAGGAAAGAAAATGTGAGAGAGATATTTAGGAGGTACATTTTATAGTGTTGATAGATTGAATATAGTTAAGTGAGGAGTCATATATACCTCCAAGATTTCTGGCTAGGGAAGATGGTTACCTGAAAGGACCAGACAAATAGAGGAAGGATAACAGACCCTATGGGAAAAGAGTATGAGTTCTGTGTTGTACATGTTGGTATAAAGAGTTAATGTAATATTCAAATGGACATGTCTAAAGAGGTCTGGGCTAGATATTTAGATACTTATTGAAAAATCAGCCATAAGAGTGAAGAGATGATCTTGAAAACGCAGGTTGAGTAAGCCAAGGTTTGGAATCCTAGGGAATATTAACACTTAAAAGTGAGAAGACTACAAAAAAGACTGAGAAATGGCCAGAATGTGAAGAAGAAATTACATGATGAAAATGGGACAGTCTAATGGAAAAAGTGCTGAGAAGGAGGAAATGCTGTAGAAATGTGGATAATTGTCCTTAACATTTACCACATTACTGGTAATCTTTTAGGAACAGAGTAAGATTGTAATAGGTTGAAGAGGACCTAGGAAAGAAGAAGATAGAGAAGTTAAGTCTAAGCCAGTTCTCAAATGTTGACTCATAGGGGCCGGGGAGATGGTTCAGTAGAATAAGTGCTTACCTGGTAAGCACAAGGGCCTGAGTTCAATCCCCAGTTCTGCCCCCTCAAAAAAAAGTTAACTCACAAATCACTGAGGACCTCAAACTTTTTTAGTCTTTGAGATCAAAAACCATTTTTCTTAATATTAAGATACTATTTGACTATTTTACCATATTGACAGTTCCAGTGACAATTCAAAAGTAATATTGGATAAGAGGATTTATACTTTTGTATTAATCAAGAATAGATAATGCTTATAGTCATATTCTTTTTAACCACCATTAAATGAACCATTTGTTCATTTTAGGTTTTTTTTTTTTTTTTAGGGGAAGTCTACAAGGCATTCAGGGTCTCACTACTAGATTGGACTACGCCCTGGGGGCAGGGCTAGCATGGCAGGCCTGGGGATCGAACCTCCATCTGCTGAGCTATTTGGCCAGCCTTCATTTTAGTTTTTTAAAACTATAAAACTGGAATGTATTCATTCTAGTTATTTAAAAAGTCACTTTTATTTAACAACATCCTTGATAAAATTAGGTAGGTAGGTAGGTAGAGAGAGAGAGAGAGAGAGAGAGAGAGAGAGAGAGAGAGATTTTTTTGTTGTTGTTTTTTACTAAAGCCCAACTCCTGAGCTAGATGCAGTGGTGTATTGAACTGAGAGAGGCTGAGGCAGATGACAATTTCAAGTTCCTATTGGGCAAGTTAGCAAAACCTTGTCTCAAAGAGCCAGATGTAGTGTCTCAGACCTGTAAACCTAGCATTCAGGATTGTAGTGATCCTCTTGCCTTAGCCTCCCAAGTGCTAGGATTATCCACCTGTGCTACCATGCCTGACTCTACAAAACTCATGTGTTACAACTAGATTGTCATTCAATGTGGCATCAATTCAAAGAAGATAGCTGAACAGCAAATTTATTTCAGGGCTGCATGGTACACTGATACGCTAACAGTGATATTAAAAAGATTGACTAAAAATAATGTAAACAAAGTTTCCCACTGAGTGGAAACTTTGAATAAATAGATATAATTTTGTATTTCTTTATCCGTAATATTTAATTTATTAATCAGAAGACTGGGAGTCATGAATAGTAACTGAAAAAAAACTTCAGACTTTTCTATGTATTGTTTTGTTTTAGGCAAATAAATGGCATTACTTTCACTTTAGTATTTTCCATGTTCACAGGCTGATAATTTTAAACAGTATTGAGACTTGTAGAACCTTATGTACACTTTGTGTTTCTGCACAGTTTGCAATTATACATCACAATCCAAGCAATGAGAGAGTCTGTTGCAGCAAATAACAGAAGTGATGGGAGAAAAGTCAGGAATATTTTATGGCTATGGAAGTTCAAATGAGATTTAGTGAACACATCACACAAATAAAGTTGTGCTGTGAGCCTTCCACGGTGCATCCCAAACTTGGCTTTAATGAGAAGTACCATAAAGCCAGTATCTGAAACATCAGAGGGGTGTTTGCAGAAGAAAAGTTCAAACTTTTGATCATGTGACTTACAGGATTATATTTGACATGCATTCTTTGATTATGACTGTTTTGGCTGTTCTTGGTCACCTATTAACAACACAGCCTTGCCCTGTTTACCAATGGTTTTAATTAGAAAGTCAGTCCTCACGTTGTCAACGTTTGACACCAGAATGGAGCCCTACTTGGGAGTGGTGTCAGATGGGTACACACACTCCTGGGTTCCTGTGCTCCAGTGCATCCAGGTCCCTGGCAGTCCTAGTTCTAAAGTGATCAGAAGAGGACTGAAGATTAGGAGCAGCAGGGTTTGAAAGTCCCTGGGCAGTCAAGGTTCTTCCAGAGACATTAGCATCAAAAGGTAATTATACCATCAGCTGCAGAAAGGATCACTTCCTTTTTCGTTCTCTTCCCCTGGAGCCACTGCCGCTACCGCCAGAATTCATGCCAGAGAACACACTGGGCTCATCCTCCAGCTTCTGGCCACTCAGGGTGCAGGATGCGGGCAGCTCCCAAGGAGTGCCCCGTGTTCTATTTGAATCCTTAAATTTTATTCTAATCATAGTGTCAAGCATATAAGTCACTGTTTGGTTAATATCTTGAACATTTTTATTTTCTCACAATATTAGTAAAATCCTGATCCTTTTCAATGAACTAAGAGAAATTAGTAGTATAGCTATCTTAACCACAATAGGTAGGTAGGTAGGTAGGTAGATAGATAGATAGATAGATAGATAGATAGTGCTTTTCCCTTCTTTGCTCCATTCCTCCATCCTAATTTCTATTTACTTTTGAAGTTTATTCCTATTTTACAGTACCTATTGTACATTTTGGGTCTTATTTATTCTTTCAGCTTCTCACACTAAGAAGACAATACAATGTTTGCACATATCCATTTACCTACAGAAGTCTCCAGTTTATCCTTTATCAGCAAGTAGCACTCCATTGTAGAAAAATACCACATCTTTTTATCCATTCCTCAATTGATGGGCATTTGAGCAGTTTCTAAGATCTAGGTATTATAAATTGCGGTGCTGTAAAAATGTGTGTACACATATTGCTGTGGTATGATGTTTTTAAATTCTTCTGGGAAGAGCCCAAAAGAAGAATAGTTGGGTCTAGCGGGACCTCCAGTCTTAGTTTTTTAAATCTCCACAGTGGTCACACCAGTTTACACTCCAAAGCCACTCCAGCATTTGTTATTGGCTAATTTCTTGATAATAGCCATTCTTTCCTGAGTTAGATAGAATCTTAGTGTTGGTTTAATTTGCATCTCTTGAACAACCAGTGATATTGAACATTTTTTCATATATTTGCTGTTTGTATTTCTTCATCTGAAAAGTGTGTTCATCTCAGATACCCATAATGGGATTGAATCTTTAAATTTGGAAAGTCTGTATTTTTTTTTGAGGTCTTTATATTTTCTTTCTTTTTTAAAATCACATTTTCTTCAACCAGTTTATTTTTTAATATTTATTTATTTATTTGATACAAGGTCATGCTTCACAGCTCATACTTGTAGTGATCCTTCTGTCTCAGCCTGTACAGCACTGGGATTACAGGCATGTGCCATCATGCCTGGTTTCAGGCATGCATAGCACATCCAGGCTCCTGGAGCCAGAATGGCATGTGGCACTGGGGATCAAACCTGGGTCCTTGCACTTGCCAGGCAGGCACTTAGATCAATGAGCTATCTCCCCAACCTCATTTATATTTTCTTTTTTTTTTTTTTGTGGAACCGGGGATTGAACTCAGGCCCTTGCGCTTACCAGGGAAGTGCTTATTCCACCGAGCCATCTCCCCGGCCCACATTTATATTTTCTTGATAATAATCTTTTGTCTATGTCTGAGGAACAGAAGCCAAACTTTTTTTCCCCACATTGTGTGTTGTCTTTTCATTTTGTTAGTGGTTTCTCTTGCTGTGCTTTCGATAATATGAGATCCCAGGTATTGATTCTTTGTGATAGTTCCTGTGTAATGCGGGTTTTATTCATAAAGTCTTTGCCAATAGCAGTGTCTTTAAGAGTTTCATCTAACTTCCCATAGGTATCATGTTTTTGTTTTAGTGTTTGGATCTTTGATACATTTGAACTTTGTTTAGTGCATGGTGAAATATATAGGTCTATTTTTAATCTTCAGCATGTATAGAACCAGTTTTTCCAGCACCATTTATTAAAGAGGCTATCTTCCAGAGAATGTGTTTGGAAGTTTTCTCAAAGATAGAGTGGCTGAGTATGCCTGAAGTTGCTTCTGCATCTTCTAAGCTGTTCCACTGATCTGTGGTTTTGTTTTGTTTGTTTTTTTGCCAGTGCCATGTAGTTTTATCACAGTAGCTTTATGGTATAATTTCATTTTTTTTATTGTAAGAATAATTTTTTTATTTTTTGAAGGAAATACAAAATAAAGATAAAAATTAGAAATGATACAGAAACTCACTAAACAAAATAATACAAGTTCAAGAGTACTTGTTGTATGGCATAGTGTTGTCTACAAATTAGTTGTTTAGATGACCAGATAAATGCATGCAGAATTGGAAAAAGGTTATAAGAAATTAAGAAGAAAAAATTTTAAGCATTATCTGCTCCTTTCTCCCCCCCCCCCCGTGAATTCCTTTTTATATATGAAAACATTCTAGTTTGTAGGAAGTTACAAAAGAAAAAAAGTTATTCATAATCTTTTAAGTCAACAGAAAATGGAAATATACTTTTTAAAGTTTCTTTCTTTTTTTTTTTTTTTTGGCGGAACCAGGGATTGAACTCAGGCCCTTGCGATACCAGGGAAGCGATTATT